GATCCACAGCCACTGAGGATATGGGCAGTAAAGGTTGATGTCATAAATAATGCAAGGCAGTACAATAAATTTCAGTTCTCCAGATATTTAACACCAACATTCAGGAATTTGCTCACAACAGAAGTTCACAACAGAATATAGAGAAATAAATCATATTTTATTGCAGATAAAACCGAAGCCATACTTACGCAGAACACCTACCTAATGCAACAGAAATCAAACCCTACATAATTTCTATATTAGGGTTTAAACTCTAAGCCTTTTGCTCCTACCTTTTCAAGTCTACAAAAATCTTGCTGCTTTCTTCTCCGCTTTGAGATTGGGACATCTGTTCAGTGTTTACAAAACTGTCCTGTCTAGCCTGAGAGTCATTGGTTCCCACTTTGTCAGCATTTTCTTTAAATTACCAGCCTCCTAAATTTGGTGGGGGAGGCAAATAAAAATAGATTTCCAATTATCTGGGCAATTCAGTTGGAAGAACAAAATATAATTCAGAAAAAATAAATGAACAGGATGCTATGAGAAGGAAGGAAAGAGAAGGTTCCCCAAAATTCTTTGAATGATTGAACAATACAAAACACCAGGAGGTGGGGGCTTTCTTTTTTTTCTTTTTTTTTTTTTTCTTTTTTATTCTTCATCCCAGGTCTTTAGTATTATCCAATCTGAAGAACAGATCAAAATTTGTTATCGGTTCTGTAATGTTTCAGTTGGCCCTATTAAATTTACCCAGTTAGAGATAGGAAGGCAGCTCTGCCTGTTATGCACAGGACCATGGAAATTATTGGACCACTAAGAACTTTTACATGGAAGCTTCTCACCTATTCACTGCCTTACAGTTCTCACCATTGATCTTGGTCACTGGAGAGCGTGTGTCAAACTGTGAGATTCTCTGTACAAATTCCAAGGGCAGATGCTCCTAGAAAGAAGAAACACAGATGCTTGGTTTTGAAGCAAAATGGAAACTAGTTTGGAGTTTAACTACCGAAACTCATTTGTCTCATTCTTCATATTATTTATGGTTAGTACCCATACCTCAGGTTGGACAATTCATTGACAGAGAATAAGGACATTATGCCAGAGAATATGATGCCTCTAGTCCAGTGGTTCTCAACCTGTGGGTCGGGACCCCATTTGGTGTCGATCGACCATTTCACGGGGGTCGCCAAGCAAGGCTGTCCGCCATTTTTTTGTCCATTTTTTTTGTCCGCCATTTTTTCCCCTTTTCCGGCGGGTGCCTTACCTCCCTTGGGCTGGGCCAGCTGGTGGTCGGCCTGCTCCGTCTCTGCCGCTTGCCAGCAACGCCTCAGCCGGCGCAGGGGGCGGAACTACACATGCGCGGCGCTCCCGGGCAGGGAAAGTCCTCGACTTACGACCGGTTGGGTAGTCCTCAACTTACGACCGGTTTAGTCCTCGACTTACGACCGGTTTAGTCCTCGACTTACGACCGGTTTAGTCCCCGACTTACGACCAGTTTAGTCCTCGACTTATGACCGGTTTAGTCCTCGACTTACGACCGGTTGGGGTCGCGGCATTAAAAAGGTTGAGAACCACTGCTCTAGTCCAAGGGGAGGCAACTTTGGCTCTTTTATGACTCGTGGACTTCAACTCCCAGAATTCCTGAGCCAGCATGAAGTTGAAGTCCACAAGTCATAAAAGAGCCAAGGTTGCCTACCCCTGCCCTAATCAGTATCCATTTCTGGAATACAATACAATTGGAAGTTTAATATTTAATATGAAAGCAATCCACTGTTTTGGAAAAAAAAACTATCAATAAACAACAATAGAACTAGAAGAATCTTAAGTTTCACTTTCTTAAGATTCTTCTGGCACTCTTTAGATATGCCAGGCATTAGGTAGGAAGATAGAGAAAGCTATACTGGGAGCACGTGACTTAGACCTCTCTCCTCTTTTCTTTTGGAAAACCTTCCTCTTTCCAAACATTATTTATCAATCTTTCTCTTATATGGATTGAAGGAGCTTTCAACAATCTTATTTGCCTGAGAATCCATTGTCTTCTAGACAAATTATAGTCCCTGCCTTATGGGTCCTTGTTGAAAAAGATGCAAACTAGAATGCAAATAAATCCAAGTTCTAGGCACCTGGTTTTTAAGAGAAGAAAAAATAAGGATAATGGTGATGGTTTTCTAACAAATCCTCCTGAGGCCTTCCCTGTTTTGTCAGAAAGCTAAACGTACTTGTGGAGTCAACTCCAAAAAGGTGTGACGCGGAGATGCATTGGACAGTACCAAGCGGCTCTTCACTTCAGTTCCATCCTGGAGGCAAACTCCCTGAACCTTCTTATCAGAACTCAGGAGAATGTGGGAAACTGCCTGAGGAGTAAAAAAAAATAATCGGCAAATAAATATGGGTTCTCATGTGATTAGTAAAAACTGCCCACTTAACTGGTGGTAGAAGGGATCCTGACTTCAGGCTGTCCCCTCCATAAAGAAACCAAAGTTTGAGTATCTGTGTCTTGTCCTGTGGTTCAAACAGAACCCAGGGTGCCACATAACAGCAAACAATTGCATTTGCTACCTCTTGTTCCATTGTTTTTTGTCAGCGTCTACTTTTCAGGAGGAATTTTTGACACTCAGATCAAGATTTGATAAATCTACTCACCTTATCAGTAAAGATCTCAGCCCCAAATGTAGTTGCAGCACGAGCCAAGGCCCCAGAAAGTGCCCCCATGCCACCAGACACATAACCCCAGGCACCCTTGCGCCCCTCTACTCCTCCCATGACATGGTGCAGCAGAACATACCTATGAGAAAGACACAAAATTAGGGACTGCCAAGCAGTATTATGAAGGCTGCAATTGTATTTTTAATGTAGATGTTGGCCAGCAGCTTGGGTTTGTCTCAGACTTTCTGGATACCTTTTTCAATGCAAGTCTTCTGCCTCAAATACAACTTAGTCTTTATAACTGTATGCATTATAGTAACTGTGTGCATTATAACAGTTTCAGTCTCCAAGGGCTTACAGAGTATTATAGAAATAAAATGTTATGATGCTTGGTATAACTTATTAGCTATTTTCCTTGTGTCCAGCAGTGCTGGTACATAGATTGCTATTGATTGCCAACAAGATATAAAGGCTAGGAATGAATATGAAATGATGAGAAATGGTATGTGAAGATAGGAGGCAAAGGTTAAGTTGGAGAACAGCAATACGAATTAAGAACCATATTATTACCCACTGCCTGGTGTATGTGGACCAGCCATGGCACCAATCACTGCATCAGTGGCCAAAGTTGCTTTTAAGGGCTCTGATTCAAACCAGAAATCCAAAATCTGCAAGAAGAGACTCAGAAACAAGCCTTGTATGGAACCCCTGAAGGAATCTATACATTCTGTGTACTCATTGCCTTTCTCTGACCCACAGGTGCTGGGCTAATCCCAGGGCCCTCTTGTAGTTCAAATTAAAGTTATCCAAAATTTATTCCTGAGCATCTAATGAATTATGGAGATAGCACAGTTATACAATTAAAAAGTTGTGCAAACAACCCCCCTCCCCATTTCACTGGAAGCTTCCTGATCAGGTTGGCCAATGCCATTCACCTTGGAAATGGGAGCTGTGAGAACCTCATAATACTGTGGAAGTTGTTTTCCCAAGGCAAATCCTGGCAAGAAGAAAATAAGGTTATTGTTCACCCCACCAGAGCCGCTTGTTTGAGATGGACAGCTATAGAAAATAAATAAACAAATGTGATTCGTGCCTTTCAAATATAGAACAAAAGGGAAACTACTCTAGTTAACCATCCCACACAGAGACTTACAGCTGCAGAAGATCCCCAATAAAAGATCACACCAGGAAAACTCCTTTCTCTCTCTCTGTTTGCTCATCTTCCACTGCTGCTCATACACAGCTTATATGCCGTGCATGCCGCTTAAGCACTTTCAGGTTTACATTTCTTGGTTAGCACACCTTCGACAAAAAGCCTTCACACAGTCCTCCAGAGGTTATTATGTTAGTGCCAATTCTCTTGCAAATGTTGATTTCAATAATCTAATTTAAGGAAGATGCAAACTAATCTTAACTAATCTAGTATAGTCTTCATTCTTGCAGGTCTATTCTTTGGGCATTAGTGCACACATGTATGTGTATAAATAAGTGTGCAAATGAGTGAAGCCCTCAATTTATCAGCCAACGTAGTTTCCAAAAGCTATATGGTTGTTTTGTTGTTTCAAGATAGAAACAACTAACCTTTTGTTGGAAGGTTTTTGGGTTAGATAAGATTACACATGTGGGAAAGGCTAGGTTTTATTTTAAGGCCAGTGCTAGTATCCATGTGTTTCCTTCTCAAAATTGTTTTAGTGAACATGATCAGAAATTCTTTAAGGGCTGCAAAAAAGGAATCTAGGCTTTATATTTGGCCTTGGGATCCCAGTTACTCCTTCTTACCTTACAACAAGCTAAGAGGAGAGATTGTTAATTCAAGTATAAAGTGTATATGACTGGGTGTGATTCTAATCATCTACGTAATCCAACACAACAGCCACTGAAGAGAAATCTGGGTACATATCACAAATGGCAGGACCTGGGCCACCTGTCTCTCACCCGCACAGAACAGGGCTCTCAACCCCGCCAAGGCCCTGAATCGCTGACGCAAGGAGCCCTGGGTGAGTGCGGCTACATCCATTGGACAGATATCAAGTAGAGGATCAATGGCTGTCACCAAGCGGTTCATGAACGCCTCATATTTGGGAAAAGCCTGCAAAGATAAAGGAAGAGAAACTACGCAGCTTAGACTCATTTTTAGAGCAAGCCTTTACTTACAGATCAACACCCCAAGCGCTCACAAATGTTTAGGTATCTTCTTATATTTCTTGCATCATATGACTGTGATATGTTCTACTCTCCTTACCCCTCTGCCTCCAGGATCAGTCCTCCCCAAATACCTGGGCATCCTTTAGTGAGAACTGGGAAATCTGGCTCTGTGTCTCAGCCATGCTGTTCCCCAGCAACAGCGAGCGAGGAACCTTCCCACTCTGACTGTCCTCCAGGATTGGAGTGAAGGAATAGGGGTCACGCAGCAGCACTTTTAAGCCATGTTTCTGCAAGACAGAATTATCACACACATGCAGTAGGGAGATTTGTGTACAGTGCTCAGACATATGGGCGGCTATGCACAATGGTCCTAGAATGACCCTTTCCTAGCATACAATAGAAGAACGATCTCTTTACACCACTAACAACTCTACAAAGGGCCACCAGCTAATTTAGGCTGCAGTCTTAAATACGTTTATATATGGAGTAAACTCCATTAAATATAATGGGACTTAATTCCAGGTAAACTCCTCAACCTGAAGAGGCTCTCTTTTTAAATCTAGTATCTGTTGGTTTCTGATTTCAGGAATTTGCTTCCTTGATTATTGGAATGTTAATCAAATTTATGTATCATATATACTGCATCTGCCCTCTGGAACATTGTGCCCCCCCCGAGTGAGGTCAGCTCCAAACCTCCTGACCTTTCATAAGAGCCTAAAGACCTGGCTGTCAACGCTAGTTAGCTTGCGGCTCCAATGGGGGGGGGGGCATCACAGTGGAGATGCTTGATAGATTAACAGATCCTCCCTCCCCCCCATACTGCTCCTGCCCTCCCTGTTTGGCTTTTTGTATTAACTTTTTATGTTTTTAGTTTATATAGTTTTCTTTTATGATTGTAAACCTCCCAGAATTACCCTGAGGTAAGATGGGAGGCCAATAAATTTTACAAATAAATAAAATAAAACAAATGTCAAAAGGGATGGAGCTAATCTAAATTCAGGGGGAACAAGAATGTTCCATAAGGCAGGTGCTACAGCAGAGAAGGCACATCTGGGACCCACCAAATGAAGGTCTCCAGTCAATGATACCCACAACAACTGGGATCAGTATATAACAGGTTTCAGGAAAAAAAGCACAATTTGGAAAAAAAGCTATCAAACAATACCAAGCATTTCCTAAGGCTACCCAAAGCACAATCCATACCTTCAATTCCAGCTCAGTGTAAATCTGGGGTCTCAGCAGACTGAGCAGGTAAGAGGCTCTGGAGAAGTGAAAGCCTGCAGAATAGTGGAAATCAGGTGAACCAAGGAACAGAAGTTTATACGTTTGGGAAAGGAAAGTATTGGGTCAGTTTAACTCTTACCTGGGATGATTTCTTCAGTGACTGCAGCGCCTCCCACAATGTATCTTCTCTCCAGCACTACTGTTTTCAACCCTCCCTTTTGCAGATAAGCAGCCTGGGGATGCAGTGAGTGTTAACTTGGTCCTGAATAGTCCCACTTGCTGCTTTCCAAGAGTTCCTGTTGCAGAACCTCATAACTGTAAGACCAAATATCCCCAGCAAAGAACAGATTCTCTCCCCAAGTACAAATTAAGCACCTGGGACCTGTTCTAGAAATTGTCAAAGGTAAGGGGCTACCTCTTCTCAGTACCCTCCGTACTTACAGCCACTAGTCCATTGTGTCCTGTAAAGAGATATCCCAGAATGAAAAGCTACTTGTCATCATATGCTTCTTCTTATATAGGTGCAAATATTTTATTAATACCAGCATTTTTGTCACCCTTCTCAACCCCGAAAGGGTCAAGGGAAAACATTCATTTGAAAAGTTAAAATATAACTTATAATACAATTAAGAACAGGTGACACAAAAATTTAAAATCAGCAGTGGGACTGCAATGCAAGTGGATTGCCATGCCTAGCTACCCCCAGCCAGCATGGTCAGTGATGAAGATGCTGGGAATTATAATTCTGCAGTCTCAAAACCAGTATTTCTCAACCTTGGCAATTTTAAGACAGGTAGATTTTACTCCCAGAATTCCCCAGCCAGCATGCTAGAGAAACACTGATATAAATGATCAGAGACTGCTGATCCCTGTATATGTTTGGCACAGAATTAGAGTTAAGTCTCCAAATTCTGCTTGATTTTTATGATTGCATTAATCCTTTCAAAGACTTTTTTTTTAGCAATTATAATGAGGTGGCTTTCTGACATTTCAGTCTAGTCCTGACCTTTTAAATGGCCAAAAGTGACTCTGCTTAATTGAGATCAGCCAAGGTTGCTTAGATGCTATACCTAAAGAGCAATACAGAACTCCAGATAAAATATGCAACGTTGGCAAGCAGCAGCACTTGGATGGGACACTATTAGAAAAATACCTGGGAAGTAGAAAAACATCCTTGGCAAACTAAGTTCATATTGTTGCCAAGAAAACTGGAGGAGTCAAGGAGGCCCCCAGGAAGGCTTACTGTTTAAAGGGCTCCAGGACTGCATGGCCCACAGTTTCTAGTTTAAAATTTCAACGCTTCATCTTTCCATGTCAAGGAAGCCTCTTGACGCCAAAATACTGTAGACACTGACTCCAAGTCAAGGCAATTCTACCAGGGCAGTGGGCCATTTCCATATCTGGCCACGGGGAGCCTCCTTTGCTCCCGCATGTGTTAAATGGGCTCCATTCCTCTGACGCTCACCTGCCCCGATCACGACAGCGTCGTACTCCCGCTTCAAAGAGGCTGCAGGCCGCGAATGGTTTGCCCTGCAGCCCCCCAAAATCCGGCGAATGCCAGTCGGGCCCAGGCGGCGATAGTGCCCGCTTGCCATTTTACACGTACTGAACTTTGCATTTCGGATCGCACTTTCGGGCGAAGAAACAGGGGAGGTCCTACGAGCCTTTCAGGAAGGCGGGGGAGAGGAGGGAGGGGGAGTGCCCGGAAACCGTCCCGAATGCACAAGTGCCAGGGGTAGGCAACCTTGGCTCTTTTATGACTCGTGGACTTCAACTCCCAGAATTCCTGAGCCAGCCATGCTGGCTCAGGAATTCTGGGAGTTGAAGTCCACGAGTCATAAAAGAGCCAAGGTTGCCTACCCCTGCACAAGTCAGTGGTATAGAAGGGCGGGGGGGGGCGGAGTCGTTGCTTAAATCTTTCCGTGTCACCGTGCTTCACCAACAACGCGGCGTCCCGGCAAAACAGGCCGAAAGCTATTTGTGACACAATCCAAAGCAGAGCTGCTTCCCAGCTCGAGACTTACATCAAGTCCACCAAATCGGTTTGGTGCCTGATGCAGAGCATTTGAGAAACTTCTTTCGCCCCTTCCAGCATTACATAGTGATAATCATGGAAATGGATAATTAACGAGTCTCTTTCCAAGACAGGCGACCTCATATCACCTTTCGCGCTCCGGAAGCGTGACATGACCAGGAAAGTGTATTCTCAAAAGGCGCTTTGGGTGCCCACCCACGGGGGCTTTTCCTTGACCTGGGACCCTTCTCTTTCTCTCACGGGCCCGCTCAGCTTCTAGATTTTCCAGCTAGTACATACAACAACCTGAAGGAAGGCTGTTTTCGAGGGACAGAGAAAGCCCTTTAGGGTGAGCCTAACTAAGTGGCAGGAAAGGCGACGTACAATGCACATATTAACATCAAATCAAAATCCTGAGAGCCTTTGCTTGCAACCAGGCAGAACACGATCTGATTCAGCCAGAACTGCAGCATGGGCTCGCTCCTGTTTCTCAGCAGTGCAGATCACACACACACACACACACACACCCCGCCTAAGCTGGATAATCACAGCCATTGCCAACATTTGCAGGCAGCTGAGATTAAGAGGGCTTCCAGTCAAGCGTTTAAAGAAATAATTAACTTCTGATATCTATTGGTATAATTACATCTTCCACTCGGCTCGCCTGGCCATCTTTCACATGCTTCTGTGTTATTTGTCCCCACCCTTCCTTCTAAGTGGTTGGAAGAATATTCCTGCTTTGCAGCGTTAATGAAAATCTATCCACAAAGGGCTTTTTTCCCTGGTGTTTAAAACAATTGTTTACCCGCGGATGCCAATGCAGAATATATCCCATTGCTTTATTCTCGTTAACCTTTAACCGCAGCACATTTACATTATTTCAGAAGGAAGACCAAAATCAAAATGTTATATTACACTCAGAATGCCAGTTATGTCCCCTTCTACATAAGACACTTTTTTTACTTCCTCCTTATTCCACAACGCTGAGTACTCTAGGTTGAGGCCATTGAGCATGCTCAGTCCTTCCTGGGTTCTTTGGAGAGTGGAGGGACTTTCTTGGGAGATCCTTTTTTTTTTTTTGCTAAAAATTGCACTCACATCCTCAGGTTTCCTTCACCCTGCTGCTAGACTTCACTTGGGACTCATTTGGCTACACAGCTCAGCTCTCTTCATTTGCATCTTAACCATGAACCAACATAGCCGGGACCACTTTATTCTGCATTACCCTCATCAAATTGCCTTCATTCCATCATCAGCCTACATATGGAACAGTGTTAAGTGGTGCTTAGCTACTTTGGTTTTAAAGTAGAGTAGTAATCTTCCACCTAGACCTATCGACCTATAGCAGTTTCCAGACATATGAAATCTGACATGCTTTGCTGACTATCCTGCCAGCAGGTCAGGTGATTGTAAGAGGTGGAGTAGCAAACATTAGCAACATCAGGCTTGCGTAGTGGTCACCGCCTAACCCTTCAGGTCCCAGCCTTCTCCACTGCCACCATTCCTTTGTTCCATCTCCTGCCAGGAAGTGCTGGAAATAACAGCCCTGCTCATGGGCAGCTGACAGAGCTGTGGGGTGCAACTGCTTGTGGCTTCTCCTGCTTTATCACACCAGAGAGGAAGAGGCGACTGGGTTATCAATTTCATCTGCAAACTAGATGACATCTTGATAAAACAGGAGATGGGGGTCAAGATTTGCTGCCTCCTGAAACCCCCACCCTGCCAATGCTTTCTTGCTGGCTGCTGACATCCAAAACATGAGTGTGCAGCAAAGCCAGAGGGTTTCACCGGCTTGTCATGCTTAATATGACCTGCATGTACAATGTCAGGATATACCACTGTTTGGCAATAAGCCAACCCAAAGATAACAGATACAAGATAGGACAGCAATGGGAATAGTGAATTTCATATCAATTAGTTTTCTGCCAATTCTAGAACAGGTGACTATAGTAACTCAGGTGTGGGAGAAAGCACTGTAGAAATTCCCTGCCAAGAATTATGAATAAACCTTGGTTCTTACTTTCCTATACAAGTAATCCTTATAAGTGTAATTACCACTTTTCCTGGATAGATAGGCTATCATATTGAAAAGAATTTACAGATAAACATGAAACAGACAAAATAAAATAGCTGCACATTATATAGAAATTTCATTTTTATACCAGACACAGCCAGAGAAATGTACTCATCTGGTTATAAAATAACCATGTTCTACGGAAAATGGCAACAACAGACACGGGTAAGAATAGACCAATAGCTGTTTTAGATCAGACCTGAAATCAATTTAGTTCAGCCGTAACCAGCTTACTATGTTCCAGATGTGTTCAAATTTAACTGTAATAATCTCCTAGTCAATAAATGTATTGACTTGCACAAGCGGCAGGCTGGCGCGCGCACATGAAGCTCAACTTGTGCAAGCGGCGGGCCGGTGCGTGCGTGTGCCGATTGACTTGTACAAGTGGTGGGCCGGTGGGCACACATTTGCATGGGCCGGTTCCCTCTCCTCCCCGCCCCCACTGAGCCAACAAGCCATAAAGGCTTGGGACCACTGGCATAAAGTATTAAAGCTGAGAATCCTCAGCTTTTTCTATAGACATCACTGTCATTATGTTCATGTTTCTTTTTTCATGCAAGTTTTACAAATATTTATAAATCATGGAGGGAGAACATGGTGCTTGTGGATGTGTTCCTTGGCATCTGAAAAGTTCCATGCCCACCCTTTTGAAATTATATTTAAAGGAATAAAATAAATACATTGGAAGCTGGCATGCTGCAAAGCAAGATAAAGATAAAGATAAAAAAACCACAGAAAGCCTCTGGAGATTTTTTTTTAAAAAAAATAGCCTCAGGATCTTCTATGCCCTCAGGGATAAAGGTCAATGGATGTCCTTAGCATAGCCCAACAACATGCATTACAGCCCTTCCATTGCTTAACTGACAATACGTTAAGACTGACACTTTTTAACAATGGTCAGTCACTATGCAAAAGGAAATATTTTTAATAATTCAATTAAAGTTGAACATGGCAAGCAAGTAAGGATAATTGCAAACAAAAAGACTAAACTAAGTGTGGCAGTCAAAGAATTAAGGGCATGATAGCTGGGGGGAAAACCTCTGTGGTACCCCAGTTCCCTTGGGACCCTGAATATGTACTTAATTTGCTTAATAGTTAATTCAGGGCTGTTTGGCCCCCATAGGCATTCTTACAAAATGCTTTAAAAACCAGAATGGTTGCAGTCTAGGACTCTCACTGGATATGTAGACACTTAAAAATAAGATTTAAAAAACTGAATTGGAGTGATAGCTAGGATCTAGCCAGGGTGGTGGATGGCACTCTCTTAGTTAACTTCTGTATTTTATAAGAGGCCTAAAATGTTATCTTTTCTGCTCTCGATTAGATCAATATTTAGTTTAGATCAATATTTAATGATAATGGAGTGCCTAACAAAATGAGGCACTATGCTAAACAGGTAAATTTACAAGCTGTGCCCAATGGGCTACTGAATCAAAGTTCTGATGTGCAGTTATAAGAAAGGAAGTCCTGTACTGCAAGTTCTCCAACACAAATTCACACCAAGGGCCAATGCTATGTCAGTAGCTGTGCTCTGACGTGAATCGCTTTCGGTATCCAAGACAAGTTTTGGGACAGAGCTCTTTGATGTTGTGAAGGAAGGCAAATGAACGCACTGATCTCCTAGCTCTGAAAATCCAATGGAGGTCAAGTAAAAACGCCACCCAAGCTAGGCCTGTCCCACTGAAGTAAAATCAGCAGAGACCTGAGATGCAACATAGTCCAGAAAGCGGCCAAATTGCACTGAGCACCAGCCAAGCCCTCTAAAGCAAGGGGATGCGTGTTGGCTCCCAGAGTTGCTGGGCCAAGCTGCGTGCCTGCTGGATCATAAGTTCATTTGGCATGATGCCCAGATGGATGGTCAGCAGCTCATAGCACTTCACCACTTCATTGGCATGTTTCCTGCCAAAATAACGGAGCAGTTTCCTGTATGAGAGAGTCAGAAAATGGGTAAAGGTGGGTGGTGGCAAAAGGGTGAAACCAAGAAAGATCTACAAAGCCTCAATGGTTTATTCAGCATAAGACAAAAGCATTGCACGTCAACAATCAACAGGCTTACAAAAAGTTAAAGTATAGCCATACAATTTTAGGCAATTTAAAGATCTCTCCCAATGTTATGCAAAATAAGATATAGTTACAAGAATGGTGATGGTTACAACACCTTTCAACTTCATATCACACAAAGATAACTTACAGTATAGGTTTAAACTTGATGTTAGAGGCCGCACACTTCAAAGTTGTGAGTTATACCAATGCTAGGAAGAGGCAGTTAAGCTAATTAAGCTGTAAACATTGTCCTTTTCATCCAATCACAGAGCTTGAATCAAATCCCTTCTGCACCCATCAGTATCTATGGCAGTGTTTCTCAACCTTGACAATTTTAAGGCATGTGGACTTCAACTCCCAGAATTCCACAGCCTTAAAATTGTCAAGGTTGAGAAACACTGATCTATGGAGTCAGAAACCTTGCTTACCTGTAATAATCACCTGCCAATGTCCCAATGGGAACTGAATCATCAG